ACAGAACGCGTGACTCATCTGTCCTCGACACGCCTGGACCTGCTGACCTCAAACCAGCGCAGATCGCCACGCAACGGTGCATCAGTATCTCCATCCTCTTCCTACCCCTACTGAGAACATGTCTCTTATGAAGAGCAAATGCGAATCATGTGCCAAAGTGGTAAAAAGTGCTCTGGTGTGTACCATGTGTTTGAAAACCTACCACACTACCTGCCTTGGGAAGGGGTCGACGAAAGCAAACACCGCAGAGGCGTTTTGGTTCTGCCAAGCATGCGAGTCTATTCCATTTGTTAGCTGTCTATCTGTGCTACTGAAGCGGTGTGAAAGACTAACCGAAGCGGTCGAGCAACTGGTGAGCGCCAGAGTTACACCCATGGGAAGGAACGGGCCTGCACTTGTGAGTGAAAATAACACCCTGAACTCCCTACTCAGGCCGAAGAAGAGAGCCAGGCGTCCCAACCCAACCCCAACGACTCAGCCTCCAGCAGTATCAACTCCATTCTCTCTCCCTCCTATAAGTAAAAACAGTGCCTGCAGCGCGCCTGCCTCAACTTCTGTACTGTGTGCTGCACCTAGAAGTCTGTTCGCTACACTCGAGACTGTAAGCTACAGTCAACCAGCAATGGTGAACAACCCGGCAACGTACGCATCGGTTGCTGCCAAGCAAACACCGGAAAGAGCACCGGTAACCTTTGTGCCCGGACTAGAGAAAACTAAAGTGGCGCAGCACGGATGGCACACACCAATGCCGTTCACAAATTCAACAAAAACACCAGATACTAAGCCTCCAAATCCAAAACCAGTAGCCACCAGGCGCAACCACGATGTCCTAAACATTGTATGCACTAATGTCCCCGAATCCAAATCCAATACAATTAAGGGTAAGTTGACGAACGATCGAAATCAGTGGGGTTCCGTCTGTACGTCAATCGGTGTCCATGTTAATCCCACGAAATTAAGAAGAATCTCGCGCCACCCAAACGCGTTGCACTACGGCGAACCCCGGTTACTTCTGGTAACACTAAACTCAGCAGACGAGACTGAGGCCGTTCTGCTGTCTGCGAATCGTCTCCGCAACGACTCAAGTGGAGTGCGCATACTACCCGAAATCCCGTGGAAAGAACGTTCAGGGAATCCCGCTAACAAAGAGAGGTACCGAATAAGCCAAAATAAGAAAACAGTGATTGCTCACGATGTTCCTGAGCTTACTGACTCCTCTTCTGACGATGCCCAGACGCACGACCGCGAGCAATGGCCCTACATTCGGGAGGTTCTTTCTCTCGAAAATGTGGTGGTCACCTCAATGACAAGGATCTCCATATCACCAAACTATAAAGGGTGCGGTCCCAGGCTCTTAAAACTTGTGTTACAGTCAGAACTAATGGCACAAACCGTACTAGCGAACTGGGTTAAATCCCGTTGCAGATTGCCAACAGAAATTCGTCTGAAAGCAGCAGAAACACCAGCACCTTTTAATGACAATTCAGTAAAGGCACAACACTTAGTGAAAACGCCAACTGCAGGATCCGACTCGGGGACGGTTTCAAGAGTAGCCATCCTATCCGGAGGGGCACAGCAGAGCACGAGCAAACACCGGGATTCGGAGCATCTGATAACTGCTTATATATCAAATACTTCTCGAGAGTATGCAACCCATCCAAAAAACGATTAGCCGCCGACCCTTTAATGGTCGGCGTAAACTCATTTGCTTCATCCATCCAATCTAACACACTTTTGGTCTCCGAGAATCTCTCATGCATGTACACAAATGCCCAAGGTCTACTCAGCAAATTAGCTGAATTAAGACTTCGACACGCGTCTGCAGCTTGGGACCTCATCGCTGTCACCGAAACGTGGTTGCGCTGCGAGATAACCGGTGCTGAAATTGCACTAACGGGCATGTCCGTTGTCCGGAAGGATCGAACCAGCAAAGGTGGTGGGGTAGCCCTTTATTTTCGTAACAACATGCAATGCGAATGCATAAACGATTCGGAAACCGACTTACCTGACGCAATTTTGTGTAAGTTTCGGCTGAGAGGGAACGATCTTGGCCTATTGATTGTTGTTTACCGCCCACCATCGTCTACTCCTGAGATGGACTGCAATTTGATGGCTGCGTTGAAGCATGTGATAAACAGGAAGTACAGTCACATTCTAGTCACCGGTGACTTCAAGTTACATGCCCTCGAATCCCAGGCCACACCATGAGAGCAATTCAAAGCGGATTTGCAAGATTTGGTTTCAGACTACCCTCTTTATGGCCACGTCACTACGCCCACCAGATTCAGGGGTACTGACAGGCCATCCATTTTGGACGGAATATTCACCAATGAAGAATTAATGGTCCAGAGTGATAACCGATACTTCTTTGGGCCGCAGTGATCATGCGACGCTATTGTTTGATTACATGTGCTAGGCGGATTATCCCAAAGAGCATGCCGAGGAATATCGTGTCGTAACCAACTATGAAGACCTGTCCGACCTAATTGATGCAACCAGCTGGTCGTTGTTAGCTGAATTAACCCCTGAGGTGGCCTGCGGTGAATTCGTCAACATATTCACCAAGCTCGTGACAAGGACATCTGAAACCAAACGCTACCGGATCAAAAGGATGAAGTCTTTCGTAAGGAGCAGGACACGTAAGTGCATGGCATTAAGGGACTTGGCATGGCACACCTATATAGCCTCCCCGAACGATCATACCTGGGATGTCTACACAATACACAGGAACCACTGTGTCAAACTCGTTCGAGAGGATAAACTTAAGAACCAACAGTCTAGCGGAAAAGTTTGGCTCCAATCCCAAACTGCTATACAGACACGTAAACAATTTGCGCCGTGTTAAGCGCGGTATTCCTGCCCTGCACACAGCATGCGGCTTAGCCCAAACCGCACAAGAGGCAGCCAACGTCCTTGGACAACAATTTGGCCGTACCTTCCAAAGCGAGCAATCACCATACATCCTGCCTAAGCAGATAACGCCGCCATCAGGGCTTAATCACATATCGTTTACCTCCGCAGCTGTACTGAAGAGGCTGATGTCTCTGCGCTAGTTCAGCTCCCCGGGTGCGGACGGCATTCGACCAAGGCGTTGAAAGTTGCTGCCATGAGTTTGGCAGGACCATTAGCAATTTTCTTTCAACGATGTATGAACGAGATGCACGTCCCCACGATGTGGAAGCACGGAATCATCACGCCTATCTACAAAAGTGGCAGTCGTGCTGATCCAGCAAATTATCGCCCGATAACACTCCTTCCTGTGATCTCCAAGGTTATGGAGTTCATGGTAGCTGAGGCTTTAATGGGGTACCTGGAGAACAACCAAATTCTCGTTCCGGAACAGCATGGATTTCGCAGAAATCGCTCCTGTACAACTAATCTCTTGATTGCTCGTGCAAACTGGACGGAATCTGTGGACGCTGGTGTATGAGTCCACGCGGCCTACTTGGATTTCTCAAAGGCATTCGACCGCACAGACCATCGCATTCTCCTCCACAAACTCCAGAAATATGGAATCGGCGATCCTCTTCTGGGCTGGATAGGAGACTTTCTCCTACAACGTCACCTGAATGTTAGGCTTAGGAGCAACCTATCAGAATCCATCGAAGTTCAGTGCGGCGTACCTCAAGGCTCGGTACTTGGACCCCGCCTGTTCCTGGTCTTCATAAACGATCTCGCGAGTGTGCTGTCTTCTAACTGCTTGCTATTTGCTGATGACCTAAAGGTATGGCGCACTATAGCTGCAGTGGAGGATCACACAGTCTTACAGGAGGACCTGGACAAAGCGTACACATGGTCCATAGAGAACATGCTGCATTTCAACGTCACCAAGTGCAAGGTTCTCAGTATACGGCACAAGAGTTTGCACAGCTACCGCCTAGGACCACAAATTCTACAGCGGGCTTCTCACGAGTGCGATCTCGGCGTGATAGTTCAAGATGACCTCGGTTGTTCGAGGCAGACTGAAAAGGCAGCTAAGAAAGCAAACCAGTACCTCGGCCTTCTTCGCAGAGCCTTCGGGAAGTTTGACCCTTCGATATTTCCAAAAATGCTTAGCGCGTACGTGAGGCCGCACGCGGAATACGCTATCCAAGCGTGGCAACCCTGGCTCATGCACCATCTCACCGCGCTCGATACTGCACAGCGTAGGGCAACGAAGAGCGTCAGAGGTTTGACCAGCCTCCCCTACCCACTCAGGCTGAAGACCCTTAAAATCTACAGTGGACGTTATCGGCGGCTAAGGGGAGATCTCATAATGGTGTACCTAATCCTGAGAGACCCCAACCACCCATGCCATTCCCTTCTAATACTCAGTCACAACACCTCGCTAAGAGGTCACCAGTTTAACTTAGTCATGCAGTACAGCCGCCTGGAATGTCGGCGAAACTATTTCTCCCTTCGAGTGGCACAGCCTTGGAACGCCCTCCCCGAACATGTAATTAATGCATCCACCCTATCCCTTTTCAAAAAACGTCTTGACGATACCCTGTCACATTTACACTACGTGCTATAGCTCATGACCACCAGATGCTGGCACTCATGCATAACAGACAGGGGATAGTGCCATAACCCTACTCGAGAACGAGTCACTCCAAACGCCTTGCACGAAATTTGATAAACGCTACTACTATAGAAACTGGATTTCTGTATCCTGTCGACCGAAGATAATCGCACACAAGTAAGCGCTGTTCTTGCTATCGTTATTATTTTTCTCGCTTATGATGTGAACAATAACCACTCCCCGTTTGTTTTGTGTGCGTACATGCTCATTCTCATTTCAAACAAACCTTTATACGAAAATGCAGTTACATCTTTAAGTGCCCAAACTGACGACTCCATTATCCCTTCGCTATCCTTTTTTTGTCACGCTATCCACCCTACGGGACATGTCAAGCACCTGCTTTTTTACCCGTCATAAATCATTGTTCATTGTTTAACGTGTGATACTGCGTGATATATACCATCCAAAATGTTAAAGAGACTCTTCTACAGTCGTTTCTTGGACATCATCATTTGTATAAAAAACTTTACTAATTGATCTTTCCCTATGTAGGAACAGTCTCTCGAACAGTCGAAAAGTAAAAGTAATTATGCATTCATTTAATATTCGTAGTTAAGGTTTTACGTGATAAGTCTTGGCAAGGGAATAGATAATCATCGGTAAAAGTTGGCTGCCCCATGTTCGACGAACAATCACTTCAGCAAGGAGGAGGTCTGTACAACCTATCCCAGGTCCACCCAATTTGCGGATATGACTTTCGATCCCATCGATGAACTCGTTCACTAGCGATAAATCGATCACCACATCGTCCAGAGCGATTTGATGTGGGCTATCCTGTAGATAGTGTGGATATCCCAGACTTCGAAGTTGGAGCGCGGTGAACAAGGGGATGTCGCGCGTGACGATAACGGAACCAGGCTGTAACGAGAAAGTTGACAATGAAGCGTACGACAAAATATTGCACAACTCACTTCGACGTTGTTCTGAATTAGTCGTCTCACGGTGAGCTTATCATGGGGCTTTAAACACGGGACAGCGAACACCTTTCGCGTGGATCGCTCAACTCCGCAAAGCAATGACAATCCATCTCTGCGACTGGTGGGCTGAAGGAACGAATGCCATTCGAGTTCCACGATACCGGAAAGTGGCTGAAAATCACGTCGTAGCTGCTGAAAGAGAAGGAGCGAATAAAAGAACCCGAATGCAAAATTTACCGCTGCAGCACTTTTGAGTGCCAGACAAATGTACCACCGCGCAGACGTGGGGGAGCACTCAACTTCGGCGGCACAAAAGTCCACAGTGTATCCGACGGACCACAGGTACAACATAAGGATGATACTCGGCTCAAGGACACCGGCCTTTAGAAACATCGATCCGATACGGATGGAGAACTTGCGATTACACGTGCGGCACACCCAAAGGTACATGTGTCGTTGTAGTTTGGCAGAGCGCAAAAGCATCGGCTCGAAGCACTTATCACATGTGAAGCAATTAGCAATGAGTCTGCGTTCGGCCAGCCATATCACCAACCGAGTAGGTTGAGTGACAAGTTGGCAGAGTTCGAAGCACTTTGGGAAACCGGCCGCAATCCATTCGTCCACGATTTCAAAGGGTCGATCGCATATTGTGCTCACGCGGTCGTAAATAGCCAGCGGCAACAGACTACCAGCCTCACTGTCTGGTGTTCGAGAATACAAGTCTTCCAAGCATTGGTGTCGCAGCGCAGTCCTGCAGGCGGACGGGAACGCAAATGAATGAAATTGAAGCGTTTCTCAAGGATCGCGAAGTGGTAGATAGACTATAACCCCAAGGAAATTTGAAGATGGGACTGTGGTTGGTGAATGGTTAAAGATAAATGCCGTGATCAATACGAATCAAAGGTACTGTAAGAATGCATCGAGACAATTCGCTTAAACTTCCCGCTGTAGGGAAATCAAAATCAAAGGATGGGGTCGACTAGCCATATTCTGCCGTCGATGAGAATCCCGCAAGCAGCGCAATCCCACCAGAGAACCAATGCATGCAGTTTGTGCTTCTTATAATCGTCGAGCCCTTAGGTGACGGTAGTCAGTTAAGCTTCGAGGTTGGGACATACTCAGTATTGGTCGCTTCAAAAACCAGTAAATGATCAGTTTCTCCTTGTTCGTTTGGCTTTCATTAGGAGACAATTAAGAGAACCGGATAAAAAGTTGGTGACTACTGCTAGAGTCTTTTCACAATGAATCATTAAGAAACGAGTTTCATAGGTTAGCAATTCAGTGTTTAGGTTTAGGCAGGTCCAAGTTCACAAACATGGTGAGTATCTCATGAGAGTCAGATCGGTCGAACATACGTTTAATTAAGTGGTAAAAGGTAAAATTGACCCGTGAGACTGTGAAGTACCGTTTGGAAGGGCGTCGCTATTTGGTCAATCCCGTCAGGTGAAATAAGTTACCAGTCTGTCACACCGGTCTCCGCAAATCGGAAGGTACGCAACTTCCCTCCGAGTGGCGCCTAGCAGATGAATGCAAGATTTGAAGTGTCCGACCCCATCGATTGAATCGCAAACATGCGTTCATGTAAGTCCAACAGTCATTGTAGATGGTGGACTTGCAGATTACCATCACGAATAATCATACAAATCGGATATCAAATCGCAGATTTCGAATTAAGATTTTAAGGAGGAAAGCTACCGTTGTTAACGGTTTATTTCATGTAATAAATTGCGCCTCAACGCGATAGCCCCTTTTCAATTGCTGCGGTAAGATACAGGATTGGGATGTTATTAGCCTAGTGTCTTAGCGCAAGTGGGATGGAGAAGCAACGAAACGAAAATTGGAGTGGGATGCTCAATGTTCTAAGCATCTGTAATCACGTATAATCATCGAAAGTGAGAGAAGTAAGCTTTTCGTATATTTGCCTGGTGGAAACGGGTAAAATCATTAGTTGTATATTTCTGGAAAATGGAAAAATATAGTCCAACGCAGTGGTCTGATCAAATAGGCACAGTGGGATCGTAGAAAACCTATGTCTGTACGTTTAGCAATGCGGTTTACAAATGAATTTGAAGTAACCGAAGTTGAATGTATCAGAAAGATGACGAAACTTGAATATATAGCCAAATGTTCAAGTAAAGTAATATGGCCATCCGTGGAATCCTGTTTCCATGCAGGGCATTCCCTCGATAGGTTTCATATGCCATCCAATGCGACGATGAAATAACTACGTTTCATTGCATAAACATTCAAAGCGATTCACAGTGAATACTAATTTAAGGCAAACAATCGTTTTCAATGATTCAACAATGGACCGATACGTATGGGGTTAATGTACCAAGGAATGGACGGTAATTGGTTCAAAAGTTTGTTCTGAAATAAATGGATTGATGGTTAGACAACAAGTAGTTCACCGCTGTCTTGCTCACACGGATCGATCGAAGTTACGTATCAGACTGACGGAACTGATGTCAAAGTGACGGTTAAGTTGATGGTGGTTCGGAAGCGGTAGACCTTTTTGCAAGCATAACGGAGAATGGAATATTCGAATCGCAACAGCTTCTGCTATGGCGAGCAATCCTAAACACAGACACTTCGATTTGTTCATGGGAACTCAGTAGACCACAGTAAATAGAAACTCTGTTTTTCGAACGTTTTACCCCGGTGATGATTCAAACCTGAAAGTCCCCGTGAGCTGAGCTGGAGCGAAGCATGCGAGCCGATCAGATGGGGGGGGGGGGAAGACATGCGAATACGGTCAGATACGCTCCCAACTGGTCCGCAGGCTTTCCGCGTCAAGTAAATTAAACGTCTTTCTCATTGCGGCTGTTGAATTAGACAACTGCAACTTCAGAAGGTTGGGCGAAGGGTACGGTTCAAAAGAAAAGGTGACGCGTTACCGATTAGGTTATTGCGGCGCAGTAGAATGTGGTCAAGAAGACAAGCGCGAAAAAAAACGAGATGCCATACACGAAAAGTCAACTCTATGTAATAATAATAATAATAATAATAATGGTAATAATAAGCAAGTGAGATTGAGGTGAGAGAAAGAGCAAGGTGGTGGTATGTGCGCATGTACATGAATTCACACTAAAACCAATACAGATAGTTAGCGATTCACTCACCTACGAACTCTAGCACTTTTGTGTGACAAAGGACGAGGAGATTGGTGGATCGGAGTGCTATAAGATAAAGAACACAGGATTGCGTCATCAACATTGTTCGCTTGTCGTAAACGGAGCAAAATAAAAACGCATATTTTAGTGTGATGAAATCAATTGCGGTGTATACAATTCTTCGGCATACGATAAAGTGTTAAAAAACAGCGCCAGTGATACAAATGTGTGAGATAAGTTATTGCCCCTCTTCTCTAAGGATTGACCCGCGTGAGATGGAGATTGATGGGTAATAAGTTTATTTTTAATGGTGAGAGTCAGACAAGCACCCGTGTACGCTGGTCACAGATTTGTTATCGGTTGCCTCAGGTTAAACAGTACCTAGGTAAATTGGAGCGTGTGGGCACGCTAACGGCATCTAGCGATTAAGTATCAGGTCGCAGATTTGTTATCAATAAAACCCGTCGTTAGAAGCCAGCAACCGGAGATCATGGTCTGTCAACATGACTCAGTAGAAAGGTATGTTTCCTCTGATTCATTTCGTCGCTCTGAAGTTGCCTTCCTAAGTTAACCGGTTACAAACTACCGACTCGCCAAAGCTCTTTAACGGGTGACTGATCACGACTGTATCAACTAAACACACCCGTTGGTGAAGAGGTCATGATACCTAATCGCATTCGCAGTCCAAGTAGACCGCCAACAGTGTGAGGTATCAGCAATATGCCGGTTATGAAGAACATCGAGCTATCGTAGTCCCATCTAAGCCGAAAGAACTTAGAAAACCATTGTGTGGAAGAAGTGGTGGATGCAGTAATGAGTGTATCACGTCCATTGCATTGCCAAATTCCACGTCAACGGATGATCCCGTAGTAATCTTTTCAACGAGGATTTTGTTCGTCGTACAACAGCAATACAAATGAAAAGCACATCACGCCGTCAAAATAGATTACAGACAGGAGATTGCGGATAGTAGATTTCTTAGGGTAGAAATAGGGAAATCGCTCAGCGCCATAAAGTTGTGCTTTAGTAGTGGCCCTGATGGTACTGTGCCAGCTTTATTGAACTACGAAGGTCCGGATATCTATATTCGTTTGCAAAACATATGTACCTTGTCAATAAAAGCCACCATTGTTCCGCCTCGCTGGAAACACAGTGATGTTCTACCAAGATGTAAAAGAGTTCGAAACGGAATGTTGTAAATTACCGCTCGATTGGCCACACTTCCATACTGCTAAAAGTTATGGAGAGGATTAGAAATGCTACGACTTCCAAGTTTCGAACATCAAGGGACCTAGACAACCATGGCTTTGCTAAACAGCGTACTTGTCAGCTTGGCAACTAGATTTCCTAAACCACATCACTAGTTGAGTCCACGATGGAAGAGAGCATGTTAGCATATTTCTTGCTACGCAAAAGGTCCTTGACAAAGCGCCTCATGGTAGGCTTTTGACGACTATAGCAGAGTACGGTATGTTGATCCTCTGCTTTCTTGGTCCTCTCTCCAGACCTTACCATCAGAGCCCAAGTGGTCAAGAGAGAATCACACGTCCTGTCGCACCCCGTGACAAGCGGCGTCATTCAAGATAATGTTCTGGGAGCAATTATCATCATGACGTACATAAACGGCACTTGTGACATTATCGTCTACGGTAGACTGCACATGTTTGCGGACAATATAAGGGTTTGGCACAAATTTGATCCAAGAAACCAGGACTCCTTGACTCGAAACGTGCAAACCGATGGTATGCACTTGAAAGACTATGTTGCAATTCAGAGATGCGTTTTTTCGTCGAAAAGTGTAATACCATCTCACACAGATGTGACGTAAATGTCCAAGTAAAAACATTCTAAGGTAAATCTCTTGCACGTGGAAAGCAAGTAAGTGACTTAGAGATGGAAATATTTTGTGTTGCTCATCCCAACACTGGCACTCCACGATTGCGGTTTCGTCTTGGTTTGGACTCATCAGGTGGAGATAGCCTGATTTGGGGTGGAAATCAGAGCTTAGTGGTTCACGGCTGACGCCATAAACATTATGCCACTGAGATCCGTGAGCAACGCTTGGTACAGCGGAAACGAATCCAAAGTTGGAGTTGGAGAATCCGCTGTATGGTTGGGTTGCTACAAGCAACCTCTATTTCCATTCCACATACGGTCCTTGTGATCGGAATGACCGAGGTACACCTCAAGTGAACCGAGGTCTCAATAGTGGTTGCTTGTAGCAACCACTATTACACAGGGGATTATCCAACTCCAACTTTGAAGGGACTTAGAGCTTCACTATTCCGACAGTCTTAACTTATCAGAACATGTACAATGCACTGTCGCTTAACAATCGCCGAACTTATAGCGTACAAGACTTGAACACGCCCAATATTAAAGTATTGCTCTACGGTATTCGGCAATGCAAGGCAGTGACTCAGCGGCTTCCACAAGATTGATCTTACGTTATACTCGGAAACTAACATGCTCTGAACGCTGCAAACTGCTGATGTTAGACCCTATATAGCTGCGTAGAATAAAGTTAATATCGCAACTTCTCGACATAATTCCTGGGTGCATTCATACATCTGGGTACAACACAGTGAACGCTAGCTTATGCGTAACTAAAAATATCACACTCAGTTTCAAAGTCGCATGTAAGCTCTTTCCTCATTAAATATATAACGATTTGGAATTTTCTCCCGCTGTTCATACACATCTCCTCACCGTGTTCCGTGTACAGATGGATAAGTTTTTTACAGTTCCAAAAGATATGCAACCCTACATGCTTATTATCACAGAGGTCTATCTGAAGGGACTAAATGGCATATAATGTCATGTCCGCAATACCTATCGGTCGCACAGTAAAAAACTTCACTTGTTACTACAGAAGCCAAAATATAGAAAGAGGCCGAATTTCCATGTCCACCGTTTCAGCGTCCATTATAATATTCACTGCTTACTTTGCCATACCAACCTCAAGGCGCCCTATCCGAATGAGGTTAAACCGAGATTTCTTCATTTATCCGATCAATGTTACATTCATTCTTTATCCGGCCACATCGACCTCACAGCCGAGTTCTTCGCGCGCAAAGTGTGCGCGGTGTGGCAAACGCACAGTATGCATGCGAAAAACGTGCTCAAGCCTCCGAAGCCTATGCAGTGAAAACACACGGTTCAGCGATCGACAAAGTCTGCCCGATTTGAAAATACTTCGGTAAACATCCTCATTACTAATGTGATGTTGCCACCGTACACAAGCAATGATTCGAAGGTAGCGGTGATCAAAGACAGCCTCTGAACGTCCATTGCGCGAACAGGTCAAGTCTCGCAACCGTAGTGCAGGACCGCTTTCACCGTGGCATTGTAGACTCGGCCTTTCACGGAGAGACTCAGGTCGCGATGACGCCAGAGATGGCGCAGAGTAGCAAACGCAACCCAAGCCTTACAGTAGTGCAGGGAAACCTCATAGGTTAAACCGCTAAAGATGAGGCAGCTCCAGAGGTAAACGAAATTGTCTACCACTTCCAAAGACTGATCTGAATGAGAAAGTGTGGGAGCAGATCCTAGCCAGTCCTGTACTTAGACCTTACACTTCGAAGGGATGAACGTCATTCCAAACTGAGACAGACACCGCCCACTTGTACAGCACATTTTGGGCGATCTGTGAGGAATCGCAAATTACGGCGATGTCGTCTGCATACTCCAAATCACGAAGTCTGTCCCCCGGAAGTAGTTCAACGCCGCTGGGTCTGCAATACTTTAGAGCGCTCTCCAGGATGTCATCAATAGCGAAACTGAACAGGAAGGGTGATGCACCGTAACCCTGTCTCACGCCACTAGTGATATTAAAGAGTGGCGAAAGTCGGCCGTACACCCACACTCGGCCCGAGGTTCGAGAGTAGATGGCTCGAAGAATGTTGACGTATTTCCCAGGCACTTTCATTCTCAACAGACAGCTTCAGAGAGTAGCTCGGTTAACTGAGGCAAACGCGGATCGAATGTTTAAGAAGAGAACAATTGTTGGCCGGCCAAACGTTTGACGACGTTCGAGTAGTTGGCAGGGTAAAAACGTGACTGACACAACTCCAGTTGGAGCGGATCCCAACTTGCTCTTCGCGTATGTTTTGTTCGCTTACCAAACTGTCTTCTTAAAAACAGGGCGGCGAGCACTTTAGATGCAACGTAGACGAGAGTAATCTCTCTGTGGTTAACGCAGTCCGTCCGGGCATCCTTTTTGAAGACGGGTACGATATCCGCGAAACTCTAATCGGACGAGATTGCTTCGGTAGTCTAAACCATTTGGAGGAGGGAAGTTAGCTCCCGAACAAATGATGTAGTTCCATCTTTGAAAAGAGTCGGGAGTTCGTCCGGGTCAGAGGCTTTGTAGCGCTTTAGAAGACGAAGCTTATGAGCAATCTCAGCCACAGAAGGGAGCACTACGGATTCCCGATTAAGGGGTTACCGGTGCTGTAGGCCAGTTGAACTGTTGCTCTAAGTGTTCAGCCCAACGCACAAGTCGATGTTGTTGGCAGTGGTTTCATGATGAAAACGCACACGAGGGAACTATACACGAAAATTGCGGACAACAAAGAGCGCACAGACATAAAAGCGAACCCGGAAGAATGCGCACACCAAAAGTAAACACATATTATCAAACTGGTCTCATTGTCACAAGTGCCCATATTATCTATCTGTGGCACTTACACGATTCACTTTTTGGTCTATACCTTCAAAAGTAGCAAATGGTGACAAGTATGGCATTCACACCCAAAATGTTGGTTAGTTAGACAGCTGGGAAGGTACCGTACTGTGCAGTGTTGCAAAACCATCTACAGAACTACCCAGACTAAGCATCGCTCGCCTACTGCAGTTAGCCGAGGTCTTAACGAATCGGCGGATGAAATCTACTGTGTGTCAGCAGGCCGAATTAACGTTCCGCCTCCCTCGGCCATCCTTTTGAATAGGCTGAAATCGAAATAGGCTATTTTCACCTGAACCAAAGCCTCAGAAGGTATGTCAGCAACGTAGTACTAAAGACTTCCTTTAAATCGATGCCAGCCGAAAACTTCAACTCAAGCCTC